GCCTGCCCGGGAGCCCCCGCCACCCGCTCTCGTACCCCGCTTCTGTGCGGGCGGTGGGACAGGGTGTAAGGGAGCTGGGGCTTAGGAACAGAATTGCTTGAAGGCTGCACCTCTCATGTCTCCAAAACCCACCACCGACTGTCTGTTTTGCAGGGGAGTTTATCAAGGCACTGTACGAATCAGATGAAAATTGTGAGGTGGATCCCAGTAAGTGTTCATCTTCGGACCTTCCCGAACATCAGAGCAACCTGAAGATGTGCTGTGAGCTGGCCTTCTGCAAAATCATCAATTCCTACTGGTCAGTATCCCGCGAGCGTCACTCCCCTCCGTTAGTGCCGAGCGGTGCCGCTGCAGGGGACGGGGGTGGGGGCAGCTCTTCTCCGGGCTGGTCCCTGTCCCTTTGCTGCGTGTCAGCGCTGGGGGGAGAGCTGCGGGGCCCTGCCCGCATCCTGGTGGGATGGCCGGGGGGAGAGACAGCGGCTCCTGATCAGCCAGAGGTTGGAGTATCTGCTCTGGGGCTGCGACAGACTCGCCGATTCCCCGTCACGCTTGTTTTCAGCGGGTGCTGAAGGGTTCCTGGAGCGCAGCCACGGGACGGGCGGTGGTGTCGAGGAACACGAGATGCCTTTGCCAGTGTGACCAACTCAGAGACTTGGTGCCAGCTGTGTATGAAGGTCAGGAATAAAGGGCAGAAGTGTACGTCCTGAGTCTCCTACACATGCAAGGATTCAGTCTGGGTCAGGCTGACGGCCTCTGCCCGCCTCCCCGGAGCATCAGGTGAAGTTCTGAAATCCTCCGCAGCAGGCAGGGGCTGTGGCACTCCTCCTGCGCGCAGGAACTGCACGGCACAGGGAGTGTTTGTCCAGGCAGATGTTCTCTTCTTGCAGCGTGCTGGAGCCGGGAGGATGCTGCTCTCACTCCCGGAGCTGTTTGGCTCCATCCCGTTAGCCCCTCTCTCGTCTGTGCAGGCTGAGGCGTTTCCCCGTGGTTTGTTCTCAGGGTAAAGGTTCTTGCAGCCAGCTGGGACGGGCCCAGATGTGCGAAACTGGTTGGAGTGAGGTGGTGGGATCTCGTTGCGGAGGTGGCTGCCGGAGTCCTCGGGTCTGGTACAGGTGCTGCCTGCAAAGATGCTGGAAGGGGAAAGATGGGCTTGTGATCAGAGAGATGAAAACGTTTTCTTTCTCTTCTTGCTAACGTACCCAGAGACTCTTGTCCTGATCATGGGAGAGAATGATCATTTTTGCCTTCCTGCTGGATTTGCAGTCTTCCTGCTTGAAAGTCTGGGCTCAGTTTTGATTGACATATTCAGTAGCAACGCTGCTGTTGTGAACCATCACCGAAGGATGCTACTGGAGGAAGGAAGTCTTCGATAATAAAGATTTCTCATTTTCTCTGCTATCCCAGCTGCTGTATTGAGGTCTGAAAACTCATTATATGTAATCTCTCCAGATATTGAGTGTGCCCTCCTGCAAGGCCAGGAAGGGAATTGCTTTTCCTGATATTGCTGAGGGAGAGAACGAGCAGCAAGAGGCTCGCTCCGACTGCCTTTATCTACCACAGAGAAGCAAAGGGCAGATTTTACAGGTGTCCTAAACCTTATCCTGGGCCCATTAATAACTCTCTGGCTCAGGAATGCACTTACCCGCTCTCCCACGAGGGATTCGCTGCTTTTAGTCCCCAGTGGATTATAATTGTTTGAATGAATGTCTTCCTAAAAGCACCCAAAGCAGCACTAAAAGCTCACTCTAAAAATAACCCTGACGAGTGACCCAAGGAGAGTCGGGAGCTCTCGGGAGGTTTGTTCCTCCGGTGCTGCCTTTCCGGGGAACTGGAGCAGCTGAGCTGCTGCTCTGAGAGGTTCCCCCTTGGCCCTTTGTGCTCAGCGGTTCTGGGGGATTAATTGGGCTGATGAGTGTCGGGGACTGGCCGAGGTACCCTGAGAGCTAACGATCTGGATTTGAGTGCCGGAGTGTGCGCGCTCAGCTGCTGGAGAGAGCCAGGGAGAGGAAGGAGGTTTACAATAACTGAAAATGGTTATAATTATGACATAATTTGGACATCTGGAAAGTTTCAATGTAAGCAGAAATTCAGCATGTGGAAGCTTGTTACTGGAAAGTTGGGTAATGAATGACGGGCCCGTTTGTCGCGTAGGGCTGGCTGAATGAGTTCCATCCGCTGCTGCACCATCCAGCTTCTGCGGTCCCCCAGCCCGACCCAGGGAGCAGCGCTCAGGGGCTGCGCGCAGCCGGAGCAGACGTTTTCACGGGTTTACTTTCCCGTAACCGTTCAACCTGTCCTGATCATTCAAGCCTTAAATTGCTTAAAGGATTCTCCTGTTTCTGGGCGAATACCATGAAGTGCAAGGGCTTTGTCCAGCTGCGTGGATCAAGCCAAAGACAGAGGAGAATTTATCCAGCCAGAGATGCTGGCTGATGTTATTTATAAAGCAGAGGGTAAAAGCTCACAAGTGTGGAAGCATGAAGCCAGC